TGTGGTGGGCACAGCACCCCCCAGTCCTGCCGTGGGATGGGGAGGGCAGGGAGGAGGTGGGAGGGGGGGAAATGCAAGAGGCTGCATCTAAATCAATGTATTTATGTATATATGTATATATATATATGCATGTCTCTGTGTGTCTATATATATATATATATGTATATGTAGGCTTGGGGGCAAGAGCAGGGCACAGCAAAGCATCTGCCCCTGGCGGGCGCTGCCGGGCACGTCCCTGCCCGGGGCTGCCGTGGGCTGGGCACCCACAGCACCCACGAGGCACCCACGGGCTCCCTTCTCGGCAGAGTGGCCACCCCGGGGTGCTGGCACTGACCATGATGGACCTGAAAGTGGACGAGGAGGAGGTGGACAGCGGGCAGCCGGTGAGCATCCAGGCCTTCGCCAGCAGCTCCACCCTGCACGGGCTCTCGCACATCTTCTCGTACGAGCGGCTGTCGCTGAAGCGCGTGGTCTGGGCTCTTTGCTTCCTGGGCTCGCTGGCCCTGCTCGCCCTCGTCTGCACCAACCGCATCCAGTACTATTTCCTGTACCCCCACGTCACCAAGCTGGACGAGGTGGCGGCCACCAGGCTCACCTTCCCCGCCGTCACCTTCTGCAACCTCAACGAGTTCCGCTTCAGCAGAGTGACCAAGAATGACCTGTACCACGCCGGCGAGCTCCTGGCCTTGCTCAATAACAGGTGGGTGCTGGTGTCTTGACGTGGCCCCAGGTGACATCTCGGTCAGTCTGGGTGCAGCCAAGAGCCACCAGGTCCTGCTGATGCTCCTGGGCATGTGGCTCCCACACTGGGTTGCCCCAGATGGCTCCAGAGCACACAGCTGCCATCCCCAGTGTGCAGCACACGCAGCAAGGCCTGGGCCACTCCCTGGGTTCCTGTGGGGCTGATCCAGCACACCTGGCTCCAGTGCCATGTCTGGGTGCCATCCCATGCAGTGAGGCCAGGGGTGCCAGCAGGTGAAGCCACTCACCCCATCGTGGTGCCATTCCTTGGGCTGTGGAAGCCCCTCACCCATGGCTGTGGTGGCTCCTTGGTGCTGCTAAGCCGCTGTCAAGGGCCTGGTGCACTCCCTGCCCATGCCAATGCCAAGGGGCTTCACTGCTGTCCCCACTCCTGCCCCAGGGAGGGGTTTCCAGGCATGACAGCAGAGCTGAGACCCAGCCCGTTCAGCCCATGTCACAGCAAGGCCACCACCTCACCAGGATGCCACCAAAGGCACAGGGCAGGTGGCTGGGTGGCCTCAACCAGGGCTGGTGCTGCTGGACCGGCAGTGGGACAAGTGGGATGGGTTTGGAAAGTGGCCACTGCCCAGCTTCTCCTCATCCATCCTTCTGCCATCTTTCCTGTGCCTCTGGGCCCCTTTGTGCTGTTGGATTCTGGAAATGCCACGTGCAAGGTGGGGCTGTGCTGAGCCCATGCAGGGGTCGCTCCTGGGAACCCCAAGTGGCCTTTGCCAGTGGGAGCAGCCACCACAGCCAGGCCTGAGCCTCTCCCTGCTCTTTCCCCCAAGATACGAGATCCCAGACATCCAGACAGCCGATGAGAAGCAGCTGGAAATCCTGCAGGACAAGGCCAACTTCCGAAACTTCAAGCCCAAACCTTTCAACATGCTGGAGTTTTACGACCGGGCTGGCCATGACATCAGGGAGATGCTGCTGTCCTGCTTCTTTCGTGGGGAGCAGTGCACCCCTGAAGACTTCAAAGTGGTGAGTGACCTGTGGGCCCTGCCCAGTGCCACCTTTCCCCCATGCAAGGAGGGTGTTTGCCCACCTGTAGCTGCTCCTGCCTCCTCCCAGCTCGGAAAGGACGGGCAGCACCGTCACTAAGGGGGTGCCGCTGGGTTTTGGAGGTCCAGGTTGTCCCCAGGAGCACGTGTGGCTCCGTACAGCTCCGTGGGCTGCTCCCACGTGGGCGCAGCTCCCCGGGATCACTTGGGCTCTGCAGAGCAGGGTTGTGCCGGGCTGGAAGCTGCCATGGTGAGGAGGCTCCAGTGGAGAAGCAGGGAGAGCACGGATGGCCGAATCCCTTGGGAACACAGGTCCCAGTGGCTCCGTGCTGCGCCCTGCCATGGAGGTTGTTCTTGTGCTGGTGGATCCAGCACACAATAAAGCCTTTATCCCTGCTCTCCCATCCAGCTGGGAGCAGAACAGTGCCGGCTATTCGGGTGCTGCCTAATCAATTCGGCAGCCGCGGCGGCTGTTCCCGAGCAGCTCCGGCGTGGAGCCCGTGTCCCTGCGCTCTTCGGGGTCCCCATCCCGGTCACCAGCCCAGGGCTGTCCCCTCGTGTCCCACGCTGAGGGGGGTGTATGCGGAGCGCAGGTCCCGGCGCAGTTCGGGTGATTTTAATCATCGGCATTAAATTCCCGTCATGGGCTCTTTCCACGAGCAGGTGTCTGTTGTCAGCCATGAGGCGTTTTATTTGTTAAATGGAGGCACGTTGCAGCCCGGAGGGGGCTGGATCCCCTCCAGCAGGGCCAGCTCCAGCCCGTGCCCGGTTCCGATGCTGCCTCTTGCCAGGGCACGGTCGCGTTTTCTGCGCCGAACCATCCTCAGGGACCTTCATCCCTGCTCCCTCCCTCGTCTCTTGGGTTCCAAATCCCTGTGTTCTGCATCCCCTTCAACCGGCAAAAGCCAAACAGACTCGCAGCTGGTTTGTTATTCCTGCCTGGATTATTCCTTGCAAGCAGGTTGGGATGATTTCATGGATTTGATTAGAGGAAGCTGGCTCTGCTGCATCTGTGTTGCTCTCTGGGGTCTGGCACAGGGAGGTCTGTGTGTGCTGGGGCTGGGATGGGGTCCTGGCACTCTCAGAAGCTTGTAGGGGATTGTCTCAGCAGCAAATTCCTGCTGCCTTGCTGGTCCTGCATGGGATGAGCCAGGCTCGGTGCTGCTCTGGGCCTGGTGGTCCCGGCCGGGCTGGGGGTGCTGGGGACCAGCACCTGGGGTGGCACCACCAGCCCACGCTGCCCCGGTGGGACCCCACCTTCCCTCAGTGGGGCTGGGTCCCCTCTGCACTCCGGGAAGCCCCTTCAGTGTGCAGGGACCCTTCTGCACCCAGGGCTGGCCCCGTTCTCTCACTGATCCAGTGGGATCTGCCAGGGGGAATTTGGGGGCTGCTCAGACCCCTAGACAGCCTAGGGCAGATGGGGACAACCAGGGGGGTGATGAGGACAGCCTGGAGGTCAGTGGGGACAGCCTGCAGGTCACTGGGGGCAGCCGGGGGTCCGTGGGGCAGCCGGGGGTCCTGGGGCCGGCCGGGGGTGACAGCCGGGGGCCGCCACGCCGCGGTGCCACCTTATCTGTCCCCGGCAGAAGGGAGGGCTCGGGGCAGCCGCGGCGAATGCAAATGAGGGGCTGCCGGAGCCGAAACACCTGGGGTGGCGAGAGGCAGAGCAGGAGCCGCCCGCTGCCGGCCTGGGGGAGCAGAGACCCCCCCGTGCTGGGGGCACTGCCCGTGTGCCCCCCAAAGCAGCCCGAAAGCTGCTGTCGCCCCCAGGGCAGCTCACAGCATCACCTGCAGCCAGGACAGGTCCCCCGGCACAGGGGGCTCGTGCTGGGTGCCGTGGAGAAGCCCATCCTGGGGTGATTTGAGCTCTTCCCACCTTCTCCTTCATCCTGCATCATCAGCAGCCACATCGGGGGTCCTGGCATTGCTCGTCCCCCTCCATGTGCCCCCCAAGCTGTGTGCAGGGCACAGGGACACCCCAGTGGAGCTGAGCAGGCTCAGACTCATCCCAAACTGCAGAGTGAACCCTGTAAAAAGACCAGGGGGGACCATTGGCCCACCCCAGCTCTGCCCAGGCTCCTCACAGCCCCCCCAGCACCAGGGCAGTGTTTGGTGCCCACCAGAGCTCCCCCCTGCAGCAGCCCGGGACAGGGATGCACAGGGAGGTGCCCTGATCTCCTCCCCAAAATCCTGGCATGACCTCAAAGCCTGGAGAGGCAAACACAAAGCTGAGGGGCAAGTCTTGACCCCGCTCAGGACTTGGCCCTGAGGGACGTGGGCTGAGGTGTCCCCGTCCCCAGAGCCTCACCCAGGGATGGGACAGGCAGGGGCCTCGCCCTTGCTGTCGCCCCGTTTTGGGGCCACGCTCCCTGGCACCCTCATTAGCACACGGATCAATGTTTCACTCTTCCTACTTCATTATTTATGAGCTGGAGTCCTCCCTCCCCTGCGGGAGCTCTCGGCCCCCCTCCCCCGGCTCCCTGCTCGCTCTTCCTCCCCTCACCGGGAGGTTCCCCCGGGGCCTCGCACATCCACGGGGACCGGCGCCTCACCAGCAAGGGAGAGCCCACGAGCCCTGTCTCTGGGCTCTAAATCCCAGGGAAAAAGGAGAAACGCAGAGGATGAGCTTCCTCTCCACACCCCAGGATGGGAATTGTGGCTGCAGGAAACCTCGGGAAGGTGCCCCGTGCTTTGGGGGAACGGGAGTGGCTGTGCCCGGGGTGGCACAATGTGAATTTGCAGCTTTTCCTTCTCACACTGAACCCACCCCAGGGAAAGCCCCATCCCCAGCTCCCTGTCCTGCTCTGGGGCACGGTGGCTGAGCCCAGAGCCCTGGGCAGCGAGCATGGGACAGCCTGGGTGAGCTGCAGAGGATTAAGACCTCTGGACCGTTTCCATGAGGCTCCAGGGCTGAGCTGGCACTAGGGAGAATTGAGTTTGACGTGGAGATCATGCCGCTGCCTTTTGCATTGGATTCTGCATCCTCTGCCCTGGAAACACCGGGTGCACAGAGCCAGAGCCAGGGAGGGACAGGGAAGGGTCTGCAGCAGCCCCAGCAAACCCCAACCACACTCCTCCTCTCCTCCTTCCTCCCATCTCCAGGGCAGTGCAGGAGCTCCCGTGATGGAGAACAGATCCTGCTCCCCACTGCACCCCACTGCTCCTGCTGGGCCTCCCCACCCTCCTCCTGACCCCACTGCACCTTGGTGAACCCCACTAGACACCTCCAGATCCTGCTGCACCCCTCAGACTCTGCTAAAGCCCAGTGTGTGCCCCACTGCCCCCCCAAAACCTCTCTGCACCCCTGAGCTCCCTGCTCAGCCCACCTCGCTGCAGCTGGGGGGTGTTGGAGCTCTGCTCCTGCCACCCTGGGAACGTGATAAAATGAAAAAACCTCCTGAAAAAACCTCCTTGTGTGGGTCAAACCTGCCCTGCTGGTGGGCTCTGGGGTGCCCTGCAGCCCCCCTGGGATCTCGGAGGGGTGGGCACAGCAGGGCACGCTCAGGGGTGCTCAGCCGGGGGTGCTGCTGCCCCCCTGCTCTCCCTGGCTCTCAGCCCCAGCCCCTTCCAGGGACCCCAAACGCAGCCCTGGCCCCCCGTGGCCCCCCACGGCAGTCACAAGGCCGGAGCCCCGCGGCGAGCGGAGCTCCCCCGCGGCGCAGCGTTAGTGGATAATCACGGAGCCGGAGTGAGAAGCATCTCCAACACAGCTGGAGAGACCGGGCGCGGGAATTACTGATACCCAGACATTTCCTGGAGCTTTTGACAGTTAATAAACAAACCGCATGGGTCCATCTGGCTCTGGAAAAACAACTTGGGGACAGCGTGTGGGCACCAGGCACGGCCACTGGCCCCAGACAGTCCCGTCCTGGTTTGGGGATGGTTCCCAGCAGCATTCCGAGCCCCAGCAGATCCCACCACGGTCCCCGGTGCTTCTACAAATTCTGTAAGACGTTCGAGTGATTTATGCAAATCACTTTTTAAAGCGGCACACAGGCTCCTAAATAACTTATAAGGGTTGGAAACTGCTGGCACGTATCCGTTGTTTCTGAGCACTGATTCACCTCGGGCATCCCGCTGGTGTCCCCAGGGGCCCGGCTGAGCATCCTCACCTGGATCATCGGCAAACTCCGCCCGGGCTCTTCCCCACACCGGCCTCTCTCCGCGGCCGAACAGCAGCAGGGTTTGACCCCCGAGGTTGCCCCGTTTTCCGGACGAATGAAGCAAACCCAGCGGGACACGGGCGAGATAATCGGAGGTGACGGAGCAGAGGAGCTGCCACACGCGGGATCGCAGCCGTTTGCTGGTGGTGACTCGGCTCTCCCGGGAAGTGCAGCGGGTTGGGAGTGCCCCAACTCTGTTGTCTGCTCGGCAGCTCGGAGATTTTCCCCGTATCACTGTATTTTGCTCAAAGCAAATCATCCGGAAAGCAGCCGTGAGCTGTTTCGCCCTCGGGCAGGGAGCAGAGACACTCAGGCGTTGCTCCTCAGCTGCCTCCTTGTCCCAGCTTCACCCAAGCATTCCCAGACCTGCTCAGGCAGAACGGGGGAGCCCTGGGCTGTGGCTTTGCTCGCCCCACACTGACACGAAGCTGGATGGATGGGAGCTCTCGTGGGAAGCTGGCTGCTCTTCGCTCTCCCTCTGCGGCAGGACAGCGACAGCACAGCCCCGGCGCTGTGGGACCGGCTCCAGCGAGCCCAGCACGACTGATCTTGGCCAAGATGGGACAGAAGAGGATCAGGAACAAGAGGGATGAGAACAGTGGCACGGTGAGAGGCACCACATGCCTGCAAGCCACAGCCACTTCATTAGAGCTGTGAATGGCAACGCACCCAGCACCTGAACCTCTGGAAAACGGTGGGATTAGAGGAGGAGGACTTGTGGGATGAGGGTCAGGCTCAGCTGGTGCCATTTAGTCCCTGGCTCTGCCCAGGGGCCGTGCCCAGCCCCAGCAGGTCCCCCTGCACAGCAGCACCATGC